TCAGCCTTCCCCCCCTTTTTTCAGGAGTTGGGGCTTGCAGCTGGTTTCTGGGATAGGGAGCCCAGCCACTCCTTCTAAGACTCCTTCCCCTGCTGTTTTTAGCTCTATAACTGCTAGTACTTTGTCTCAGACTCTTGCTCTATTGCTGTCCTGTCCTTCTCTCCTCTACCTTTCCTTCCATCCTCTCGCTCTCCCCTTCCCCACTGACTAACTGGGGTGGCTTTTAAAGGCCTTCAGCAGGTGTAAAGTGGAATCAGCTGACCCCAGTCTGCCTGGACCATTTCCCCACCAGCTGCTCCTAATTGTTCCACAGCCCTCCACCCCTAATTAGCAGGCCTTTCACCCTCTTTGGACTGCTTTTTCCTCACTCAGTAGCAGCTCTCTGGCCTGACCTTGTCATAATTGTTACAAAGAAAAAGTAGGCAACTTGCTTTAAAAAGATCTTCTCTTATACTGTACATCTAACATGAAAATATGTAGTACATACTTACAAATAATTAGATCTACATTAAGCTGTATGTTTGGTTAATAGTGACTTCAGTAAGTTCTTCATGTCATAACGTACTGCCATTGATGATATAGTAATAACATGACGTCGTAGACTATGGTATATCTTTTCCAAGTGTTGTAATAATGATTATATATACACACAAATTATTTATGTACATTTTTTTTCTAGATCCAAACTTGGTTGTGGAATTGCTCAAGATATAAGATCCAGGAAAAGAACATTTTCTACATAAGAGTGACCATTTAGACGTATTTGATTTTAAAATCAATAATTGTGTGGCTGTTGACTCATGCTGTGTTCCTTCACTGAAGTTTAAAGAACAGAGTGAACTTCCCAGTAATATTGTTGTAACACTATGACTAACTGTAAAGGAAGATCTACCACTGCCAAATTAAATGTTAATGGTAAAGCTTATGATGGGGAAAGTTTTGTAAATTGGACTATAAATCTAAACACAATTCAGTCTGACAAATTTCTACATCTTCTGTTGAGTATGGTTCCAATTGTTTACCACAAAAAGCAGGAAGAACGATACAAAAAAGTGAGTGGTGTAAGGCAAGATGGATTACAACACATAGGACACAATTTTAATGTTATATCTGATCAACACATGGAATACCACCACTTCTCTGAACCAGCTTTTCATGGTAGTAATGGACACAATCCATCTAACTGTAGTCCAAAGTATGATGACTTGGCCAGTTATAATTATTGTGATGGAATGGACACTTCAGAAACAGATGCCATACTGCAGGATGACAACTTGTCTAGTGATGCGGATGAAGATGTCATTGTGGAAAGGAGCAGAAAGCAGCCAAAGGAGTCCAGTAGTATTATGGCATTACAGATACTTGTTCCATTTTTGTTAGCAGGATTTGGAACAGTTTCTGCTGGCATGGTTTTGGATATTGTGCAGGTTAGTATTCACTTTATGTGGTTTTTATTAGATAATGCAAGGAGTGGCATGGACTTGGACTAGAGCAGTGTTTCTCAACCAGTGGTACGAGTACCCTTAGGGGTACTTAAGAGAAGGCTGGGGGTTACGTCAACATAACTAAAATTTGGAGAAAACTGATTTTTTAAAAAAGTTTTACAGCACTTTATTTTTGTACTTTTTATACCCCAAAATTTCATTGCCCACCTGGCTACGATTAAGTTGTTTAAACAAATGTGTTGCGATGGTAGAAAAAAATGTTGTGTGTCTAAAAACTGTAGGTACTGGGGATACGTCATAAAAAAGGTTGAGAAACTATACTAGAGCACTGCATATGCAGGAGGCAGGGCTCAGGCAAGCAACCTGGGTCAATCCTATGCAAAGGGGAAGATAGGGAAGCAGGGCACTGGCCAGGAGAGAGGGGGGGAACTGGGATAAGGTCAGCTCCACCTGCAGAGGGCACAGGGCTCAGGGAAGTAGTTCAGGCCAACCACGTACATTGTCCCATTTTCCCTTTGGAAAATATAATTACTCTAACCATGAGTCACCATGCCAGAGGAGAAGAGAGGAAAACGGGAAGGAGGGCGGGGGGAGAAAGGAAAATCCTTTTAAAAGGAGGCTTCAAATGGAAATCATCTAAAAGGGAGGGACAGTCTTGCAGGTTGAGGGTTTTCCATGAATGCTGGATCTCCTTGGACAGGTTGGAAGCCAGGGTGATCTGAAGACTGCAGCACGGTTTATTAGCAGATTTTTTAATATACATAAATTCATAAGTACAGAGTGTATACATTTCTAATTATGACAACAAAGTTCAGAACATCATAAGCTTTCATAAAAGACCTTACTTGACATATACACAATAACATTATTGATTCAATTTCATAATCTTTGTGTTTCAGACCAGTGTTCTCTCTACTTTTTTCCATCCATGTGTGGAATAAATTTTCTTATGTGCTCTGAGGCATGTGCACCATCACTAGAAACCCAGGCTGCTATCTCAGGGCGTTCTTCTAATCAGCTGGCAAAGCATTTGATTCTCTCCTAGGTGGTCACCCAAGTGCTCAGCTTACTGGGAACACTAGTTCAGACTTCCTGTTCACCCCTTAGGGTAGGATGGGCAGTAACATAGCGGTGGTTGTCCAGGGTTAGCCTCTGGTGGGCCGCTGCTGCTATATTTACCAACGCCTACACAGTTATGTGTGATTGCAGGTCTTGTTGGCCACTACTATGCCTGGCCAATAGGAGCTGTGAAAAACAGTATTGACTGGGACATCACTCCCTGCAGCTCCCATTTGCCAGGAACAGTGGTCCATGGCCAACAGGAGCTGCAATCACCCATATCTGCAAAGGCGCAGGTAATTAATTATAGTGGTGGCGGCTTTCCAGGGGCTAACCCTGGGGAACTGGATCTCGCCGGAGGCTGATATTTGCCTTCTCCTACCTTAGGATCTCTGGACCCTGATTGTCCACATGGACATTTGTTCAAAATTCTGTTGATACTGATGCATTTATTCCTGTGTAGCCAAGTGGAATTTCTCATTCAGTGTTTGGATGCTCAGTGTTGTAGAGGTTCTGCATGTATGTAGAGTAAAATTGAATAGAAATTTCTCACTTTATCTTGCTTTCTACCCTCCTCAATATATCTGATATCCTATACAAATTTGTGTCATATGGTTTGTGGGGATGTATATGGTATGTTCATTTTATAATATTTTTATAAAGGTACATATGGAATGATACAGGGCTCTTTCAAGTATTTACAATATATGGAGGTGAGTGTATGGGTTTTATGTAATGTATTAATTTTATGTGTGCCTCTAGCAAAACCGCACACTAACTTTAACTTTAATACTGTAAACTGGGCCCAAGATTACATCTTCAGTACTCTGTCCTGCGAAGGAATTATGTTAGGATCTACCAGGGCTAGATCACACTATTTGGAGAAAAGAGTCCTGTGAGTGTTCAGACTGAAATGAAATAGACTGTCTCTTGATTTTAAAAACTGAATTTCCACATAGCTTCAGGCTTTTAATCTGAAATATTTTTGTAACTGGTGATTACTGAAATAGATTAAGGTGGTGAGACTGAACCTTAGTTTTGCATTTCAGTTGAAGATGTCACTAGCAACACTTCAGTGGAATTATAGTCCTATGATTCACAGCTGACTGTTCATGCAATATTTCTAAAATTCACTGGAAGCTAAAATCCAAGAAAGGACTAGCATTCTCCACCATCCTTGCAACCTTTTTTGATTTAACTTTGTGTCCAGTTGATTAGTGGCAGAGTTTTAGAAGTTCTGTGTAAAAAAAGAATTTAACCATTTGTATCTCTCTCTTGCTCTCTTCATTTGTATCCATTCAAAAAGATTTCTGTGAACTGAATTCCTTGCCTTTATAGGAAGAAATATAGGTTTATTTGTATTTGAAACTAAGTATTGTTTGAGCCTCCAGAAAGTGTACATAATGACAAACAAAGAGGTTGTTCAGGGACTCAAAAATGAGAGCAAAAAGCTAGGACTCAAAATTCAATCAGGAAGTAATTACACTAAAGAAAATTACTCTCAAAGGAAAGGAAAATGACTGTAAAAAAGAAACCAAAACTGGCATGCAAATGCTATTGCTTCCTTGTACTATGTTACTACAATATGTAGTTTAAAGTCAGTCATGTAGGGTTTTTTTATGTAGTTAAAGTTTTGACAGAAAACACGTTTTTTCAACGCAAAACTTAAATCAGAAAACTTCCTAATTTCCTTTCAATTCGGATTTCTACAAAGCCTACTTTAAGATTAAATCCTTGATCATACAAAGATTTAAGCATGCATTTAACTGTTTGCCCATATGTAGTCTTAGCATTGTCTAAATATAGAAGTACCATCTGTTTAATTAAACAAATTTAAAAAACAATTTAAATTAAATTGATACAAAACTCTCTTTGGACTGATTTATGTTGATTTTAGGGCAAATAAGTGTGAGCTGGTTTATATTAATTGATTTAAAACTAAATTTAGTTAAATTGGTATAACTTCTATGTGTAGACTAGGCCCAAGAATACGAATTTTTGCAAAAAAAGTATGCACACAGCCTGAATCTTTGAGTGACTGAAATTTAAGTGACTTAAAAGGACATCAACAACTGAAAAAGTATGTTTCTATCTAAATGTTATACTTACTGGAATGAGCGATACCTAAGATTACTATAATTGAAAGAGATTAGAGGATTTTTTTCAGTTGTGTATATATATTTGACAGCACTTTCCAGGTAGTTATAGTCAGAATTTCTCTTGGTTTGTGCTTGTCTTTTTGTACAGTAACTGGGGACAGAATGTTGATTGAAAAAAAGATAAGAATATAGGCTTGTAAAATTGACAATGATACTCAAGGTCAGATATAATACCTCATAGTACTTCTATATCATTACAAACAAAATTGGCTAGATATCAGGTTGATAACATCCCTTTAAACCATTATTATAGTAACTTCTATGCCAAGCTCTAATTTGTTGGCATTTTAAATAGAAATATAATATATCTCATTCGTTTCTAATGGTAACTAAGTCTCACTAGCAATGTCATTGAAAACTAATTCTGCATATATAATGCAGCTGGAAATGACATAATATTAAAACCTCCTTTAATATGTATGTAGAAAGCATATAAAAATGAACACATTGAAGCTGGTCAAACAGAAAGTTCCAATTAGCATAGCTCAACTTTTTTTTTTTTTTTAAACTGGGAGGGCAAAGTATCAGTGTATCAGTTCAGGAACTTGATGTGGTTTTTATAAGTAAGATTGCTTTTTTTCCCCTCTCGTGCTCTAACTGGCTCTATTTTGCCAAGAAATAACCTGAGTAAATAATGAGCAGTCCTGTGGCACCTTAGAAACTTGACAAATATATCATGAGCTTTTGTGGGCAAAACCCATTTCATCAGATGAGTTGAGTAAATAATATTATTTGTTCAACCCCTTTCTTATTAAGTGGCTTTTTGTTGTTGTTATTACTAGCTGTATTAGCTTTCGGGACTTCATTGGGTGCCCACTGATCTTTCATAGAGAACACTTAAGGCATGTCTAGTTTTGTGAGATTTAATGAATTAAAGTTTGTAAAGTTTTTTTTTAGATCAAATAAAAAATTTGACAGAAAGTTCAAAATACAATTAAAAGAAGTCATTCAACAATTTAAGTAACTTTACTAATGAGCTTTAAGATTTGCAAAAATACCCAAATGACGTACTGATGAATGTGTCCTAATGTGTCTAAGTTTCTAAGGTACCACAGGACTGCTCATTATTTACTCAGGTTATTTCTTGGCAAAACAGAGCCAGTTAGAGCATGAGAGGGGAAAAAGTTCCTGAACTGATACAGCTAGCATTGATACTTTGTCCTCCCAGTTTAAAAAAAAATAAAAAGGTTGAGCTACACTAATTGGAACTTTGTTTGACACTTTAACATTTATAACTTCAACAAGGGGTGTACATTCCTATCTGAGGTCACTGCAGTTCTAAAAGTAAATATTTTATCTGATCATTCTGACCTGTTTAGTTCTTCATCATTTTGTTGCTATCATATAATCTGACACAATGCTAACAGAACAGTATTCTACTATGATTAAATATTTGACTTAGGAAGAATAAAAAGGTATGTATTTTTAATCACGAAGATAAAGAGATGCAATTATTTCCCTGAACTTTTAGATCAAAATACCTTTGTTGTTGTAAAAGGAAAAGAAATGTAAATTTTTCCCTAAGGACACATCTAGACGACGTTTTTCTTTCGAAAGAAGACATGCAAATTCAGCACAAATTTACATATTTTCTGATCACTTTTTTGAAAGAGGTTTTTTCGAAAAAGCAAGCAGTCTAGATACAGTTCTTTTGAAAAAGGTTTTTTTTCCATAAGAACTGTGTCTAGACTGCTTACTTTTTTGAAAAAAACCTCTTTAGAAAAAGCAATCGGAAGAAAATATGCAAATTCATGTCGAAAGAAAAACGTCATCTAGATGTGACCTTAAGGCTACCTCTGAATCTCTTCTTGCATCACAGAAATGTATTTGAGGTAAATTTAGCAGCTGGTGCCATTGGGCAGCATACTATGTAGTAGGTCAAAACAGAAAGTAAAGAAAAATACTATGCAGAATTGAATTTGCCAAAGAAATTAGGGATGCAAAATTTAATTAGCTAAATTACTATTTGGCCCAGGTAAGTTTTTACACTCCTAATAGTATAATAAGTGTGATATATGCTTTAATAAGAAGATGTAATGTGGAACCCAGATTTGTCTAATCTAAAAGACAGCAGAAGAGTATCCCCAACAGCATAAAAGAAAGTTGGTTCTGTACTAATTCAGAGAAAAACATATCACCAGTACTGCCAACACTTACCCTAGATTTTTAGTAGAGATTTCTTATCCCAAGTACTGACCTAAAAACAAAAATCCCAAATGGCTATTGACTTTCAATGAGATGTAGGTACCTGTCACTTTTGAAAATGGGATTTTTGTAAACTTTGTCCCTGCTGTTCTGAAAGCTGTTGAAATCAGAGTACTGTGCCACCCTTAAAACAGTATTGTAGAACTTTTTTTAAAAACTATTGTTTTCTTTACCTCTATTTTAAATAGCACTGGAAAGTGTTCAGAAATGTTAGTGAAGTTTTTATCTTGGTTCCTGCACTACTTGGTCTCAAAGGTAATTTGGAAATGACTTTGGCATCTAGACTATCAACTGCAGTAAGTAATCTTTTTTTCTTCTTCTTCTTCTCACATCTCTTGTAATGTCAGCTAAGGGTATGGATGAAATGTGATTTGTGACTAACATAGCTATGCTGGCAATAGCCCCTCAGGTTTTACCAGTGTAGCATATTTCATCAAACCATTTTCCTTCCCTTCCTCCCTTCCCCCAATGAAATAAGCTATACCAAAAATATGCAGTTTTGCAAGTATGAGCTGTTCCTACATTAAAAACGCTTTTCCAGCATAGTTTACTGGTCCTAGTTTAGCGGTAAATAGTAGACCCTGGACTTAATATAGCTATGGTGTTGCACAAGAACCGAAGATACCAGGGCAAACACCTATATTAATTAAAATTGCTATGGGATTTTAATGTCCACTCACAGAACTTTTGGTGAGTTTTTTTAGGACTCCTCCTACAAGAGAAGAAACATCTTATGTTTTACCCATAACTCATTATATCTCTGGTTTAACAGATGTATTTATTAAGAATGCCAGTAAGATATAATTGAAAACTCTACTTTCCAGTTGGGATTATTTATGAAGTTTATTGAGTGTACTTTGAATGCTAAAATATTTACTTTATATTGTAGTTTGTGATAAGGTACCTTATAATTAACTTTCAGTGAGTTTAGTTGGGTGTTCCCTCTGACCTGATACCCTCCTCCTAAACCACAATCAGTAAGAATAAAACAGAAAAGAAACAGAAGTATCAGTCAACTTAGAAACACTCAACTGGGGAAACCAAAGAGCAGGACTTTAATTAATTTACTTAGAAAGTGATATTTCATTCAATGTATATACATTAAAGAACTTCAAAAATTTTAAGTGGTATAATATCTTTGCTAGAAAACATGAGCTTTTGGCCAGTTGGTTCAAAAGACTTTAAAAACCAATGCTCTCAGTGTTCAATGATTGCACAAGCCCCTCCACACTTTGTTTTTGTGGAAAACCTTGTAGGAGCTGGATTTTGTTTTTTTTTTTTTTTTTTAATTTTAAGTTTCATTTTAAATATATTGGATATTCTCAAGTCCCAGCCTCAGAACTTGGATTGTGAAATCATTTCCAGCAATGCCATTGCATTGGTGTAGATCCAGAACTGGAGGGCCAAATTCTGCACTCAGTTTTAGAACCTGATTTTGTAAATACTCACACACATATGTATTCATATGAGCATAAATGTTTATAGGATGAGGGCCCATAAAGTGTAAGCCCTTGTGGGTATTTTAGTCTGACTTTTCCATTAAACATTATCACAGTTCTTATTTCTGCCAGCTGATCTAATAGTTGGTGTATTTGGGCATGTTCATGGAAATTAAGTAGCATTCATTATGCAATTGGCGAAAAAGTGTGAGAGAAACACATTACTTAATTGGCAAGACTTTTGTTCATCAAATCCCATCAGTTTAGGATACTCTTTGTAGATTGTTTTAACTGAACAGCAGCCACATAACTATATAAATATGGTTATTTTTTTATTTTTAGAATAACTGAATTTAAGCATTAATCTTCTTGGGAAAACTTTAAGTCAAATATCATCATGTCTGATTAATACCTTACCAGATGTGTTAAATGAAATTATGCAGGCATATTATTGACAGGGGGATTAGGAATCCTGTTTAATCAGTTAACCGATTAAACTTTGTTTAATTTGTTAACCCAGCATTGGGCAAAATACAGCCCATGGGCTGGATCCAGCTCGCCAAGCTTTTTGATCTGGCCCTCAACCAGGCCTGCTACACTCCCGCTCCAGGCCAATTGAGACCTGAGGGCAGGGGAGCCCGTGAAGACTCCTCCCTCCTCCAGGGGCACGCAGCACCAGAGGGAACTGACAGCTATTCAAAATGGCTGGCGGTTCCTTCTAAGTACTGCACACCCTGGGCGGGTGGGAGGTGAAGAGAGAGACCTCCCGTGCTCCTCTACCCCATGGGGGAGTGTGAAAAGTCTCCTCTCCCCACATGCAGTGCCTAGAAGGAACTGTCTTTCTGCCTCAGGCCCCACCCCTTCTGGAATCAGCCCACAACCATTACCAATATTAGTGAAGTGGCTCCCCTACAAAAATTATTGCCCACTGCTAGCTTAAGTGCTTAAACAAGGGCGGGTGGGGGTCCACACCAACCCAATTGGGCTGGAGTGGTGCCCTGCCCTCAGCATGGCAGAACAGTCCCCTCCTCCATCCATGAGTGGGGGCTGCTCCAGCCAAGCTGGATTCTTTGACCAGGCTGCCAGTTAACCACAACTGGTAAGCATCACCCTGTAAGGGTGGTGCTTACCAATTAACCATTCACATCCATAGAATGGACTCCACGGCAACTCTTAGGCTATGTCTAGACTGCAGGCTTCTTTCGAAAGAGGCTCTTTCGAAAGCATCTTTCGAAAGAGCCTCTTTCGAAAGACGCATCATGCTCTTATCTCCCTGTCGCCACACATTTTCCTACCCACCTCCCCCACTGCCTTGCTGACACCGCATTGGAGAGAGCCATTTCGAAATGTGCTTTTCCCTGGGCGAGGCTTTTCAAATCTTGCCCCACAGCCCAAGGCTATGTCTAGACTGCAGGCTTCTTTCGAAAGAGAAATCCGCTTTTTCAAAAGAGAGCACCCAGCGAGTCTGGATGCTCTCTTTCGAAGACGGCCTCTTTACATTGAAGAACGCCTTCTTTCGAAAGAGGAACTTTCGAAAGAAGGCGTTCTTCCTCGTGAAATGAGGTTTACCGCCATCGACAGAAAAGCCGCGTTCTTTCGAAATAATTTCGAAAGAACGCGGCTTGAGTCTGGACGCAGGGGAAGTTTTTTCGGGAAAAGGCTACTTTTCCCGAAAAAACCCCTGAGTCTGGACACGGCCTTATAGCATGATAACTGAACTATCATTGTCCTTTACTACTAAACCTTAAATGTAAATCCAAATATCTAAAATTCATTTTTGTGATTTTTTTTTTTGAAAGGTAAATGTTGGGAAAATGGATTCACCCATTGAGAAGTGGAACCTAATAATTGGCAATTTGGCCTTAAAACAGGTGAGTACAAGTCACTCATTTTGGCAGACTCTTGAGTCCAGCACAAATTTTGATGCTAATCATAGGAAAAGTAGTCAAAGGAAACAGACACTACAACCAGTTCAGATTTAGCTTACCATACTTTAATTTCTAACGGTAGTGCATAATTTCTAAAGTAATGCAGACTTGCAGCAGAAATAGAGCATTTTTTTGTCAATAAGAGGCACAGAACAGATAACATCAGTGCAAATTTCCCCCATCCTTCTTTGCCAAATTATATCTCAACTCTTTTTTTTTTAAGAGACTTTTTCTAGGGATGATTAAAGAATAGTTGTGTTACCAGTAAAGTCCATTTAATCTTGATCGCGCATGCTTTCTATACTGTACTTTCATGGGTTATAATATTTAAATAATTGAAGTGGCTATAGACAGTAAACAGTATTAAAGTCCCTACAATGTTTGTGTAAATGACTGCCTTGAAATCCAAAACAGCTGCTTCTTAAATTAGATTTTGAATAACTGCTTCATATTTATACATTGTAGTTAAGCATGCATAGTGCAAAGAATGTATATAAATTAGCCATGCTTTGACTTAAAGTAAGTATTAGATAAGAATGGCCATACTGGGTCAGAACAGTGGTTCATCTATCCTAGTATTCTGTTTTCCAACACTGGCCAATGCCAGGTGTCCCAAAGGGAATGAACAGAACCAATAAAATTATCAAGTAATCCATTCCCTGTCACCCATTCTCAGCCCTGATGAACAGGAGCTAGAGATATGCTCCCTATCTTCCATGAATTTACTAGCTCTTTTTTGAATCCCTGTATTATCTTGGTATTCACAGCATCCTCTGGCAAAGAGTTCCACAGGTTAACTGTGAGTTGTGTGAAGAAATACTTCCTATTATTTGTTTTAAACCTGCTACTTATTAATTTCATTGGACGACTTCTAGTTCTTGTATTATGAAATGGAGTCATTTCCTTATTCACTTTCTCTACACCAGTCAAGATTTTATGGACCTCTATCATATCCTCCCTTAGTCATCTTGTTTCCAAGCTGAAAAGTCCCAGTCTTATTAATCTCTCTCCATATGGAAGCTGCTCCATACCCTAATCATTTTTTTTGCCCTTTTCTGAACCTTTTTCAGTTACAATACATCACTTTCGAGATGGGGCAACCACATCTGCATGCAATATTTAAGATGAGGGCATAGCATGAATTTATATAGTTGGAGCATGATATTTTGTGTCTATTATCTGTCCAATTTGTAATGATACTCAACATTGTTAGTTTTTTTGACTGTGGGGCTTCTCTCCTGGCTGCAGCAGGTCCAGGGCTTGGGGAGAAGCATCTCTCCCCATTGCAGCCCTTAGCCCCTGTGCAGGGCTTAATAGGCAGTTGTGCAATTCCATGGCTACACAGCTCACAGGGAGCTTTAGCTCTGAAGCCCTTTTTAAAAATGGACACCACATTATCTATTTTCTAGTGATTTGGTACAGAAACTGATTTAAATGGTAGGTTACTAACCATAGTTAGTAGTTCTGCAATTTCACATTTGGATTACTTCAGAATTCTTAGGTGAATACCATTTGGTCCTAGTGAGTTATTACTGTTTAATTTATCAATCTATTAAAAAAACCTCCTTTAATGACACCTCAATCTGGGATAGTCCCTCAGATCTGTCACCTAAAGAATGGCTCAGGTTGAGAATCTCCCTCATGTACTCAACTGTGAAGACCTATGCAAAGAATTCATTTAGTTTCTCTACAATGGGCTTGCGTGTTCCTTTAGCATCTTGATTGTCCAGTGACGACCCCTCCCCCCATTGGTTGTTTTGCAGGCTCCTTTGTATATTCCTCGCTAGTATTTAACTTCCAATTTTTAAAGGATGCCTTTTTGCCTTGCACTGCTTCTTTTACTTTATCCATGGTGGCACTTTTTTGGTTCTCTTTTTTTTTTTAATTGGGGTGTACATTTATGTTGAGACTCTATTATGATTACTTTAAAATGTTTCCATGCAGCTTGCAGGCATTTTAGTTTTGGCACTGTACCTTTTTAAATTCTGTTTAACTTCATCCTTTTTGTGTAGTCCCCATTTCTCAGATTAAATGCAACCATATTGGGCTTCTGTGGTATTTTCCTTGCCACGAGGATTTATAAATTTAATTTATATTAGGGTCACTATTAACAAGTGGCCCAGCTAGAATCATCTTTTGGGCCAGATCCTGTGCTCCGCTAAAGACTAAATCAGGAATTGCCTCTCCTTATATGGGTTCCAGGACTAGCTGAGAAACAGTCATTTAAGATATCAAGGAACTTTATCTCTGCATTCCATCCTGAAGTGACATGTACTCAGTCAATGTGGGAATGGTTGAAATTCCCTTTTATTACTGTGTTAATTTTTTTAGTTCTCTAATCTTCCTGAGCATTTCACGATCACTATCTCCATCCTGATCAGGTGGCAAGTTGGAATATACTACTGCTATATTCTTATTATTTGAGCTTGGAATTAATATCCATGAGTTCCTATGGTACGGTTTGGTTAATTTAAGATTTCTTAATTTGATTCTACACTTTCTTTCACCTGTAATGCCACTCCCCCACATGCATAACCTAGTCCATCTTTCTAATATATATTATAGACTCATAGACTTTAAGGTCAGAAGGGACCATTATGATCATCTAGTTTCTAGTCTGACCCCCTGCACAATGCAGGCCACGTAATCTCACCCAACCACTCCTGGAATAATCCTCTCACCTATATCTCAGATATTGAAGCCTTCAAATAGTTTAAAGACCCCAAGATGCAGAAAATCCTCCAGCTGTGATCTGTGCCCCATGGTACAGAGGAAGGCGTAAAACCTCTAGGGCCTCTGCCAATATTGTACTTTGGTATTACTGTGTCCCAATTTTTATCCTTATTTCACCAAGTTTCTGTGGTGTAGTCTCTCATCCACATTCAGGCATAGTTTTTTGTTTGTCTCTTTAGGCTCCTGAGAATCCCCATTTTTTTTTCCTCTTACCATTTTTACCATTTGAGGCTTAGAATCATGCTAAAGCCTTTCTTTTTGAAAAGTGAACAGCATTTACTTCAGACTCCATAAATTCTGCTTCTTGATCATCTAAGGGAAGATCACAATTGAGCTATACAAACTTTCCCTTTCTCAATAGTGGCTGAGCATAGTTCCTCTCAAGCATGAGAGACAGGAGACAGGGATGTTGTTAGTTGGTTTATGTCTAACAATTATTTTAAGTTGCTGAAGTTTTCTGATATTAATAAACTGTTTTACTCTCGTAGGTCCAGGCAACAGTAGTTGGTTTTCTAGCAGCAGTGGCAGCAGTCACACTAGGCTGGATTCCAGAGGGCAAATATCGCCTTGAACATTCAATCCTTTTGTGTTCTAGCAGTGTAGCAACTGCCTTCATAGCATCTCTTCTACAGGGTAAAAAATATATTTGTAACTTTCTACAGTGATATTTTTTCAGTAAGTACAAAATGTGCATGTGTCACAATATTACTTAAGATATAAATTCCTGTAGAATACAGTCTCTCTGAAACAGACACCTAGCAATAGGTGCACTCATCATGTTAAAAACTAGAATCACAGTAATTAAATTGGATTACAAAGAGAAACCAGGCATAGATTTTCCTGGATAGCTATCTTTTCAAGATGTTTAATTTGTGTGGAGTCCAGTTGAAATTTGCTCTGTTTGCTAAACTTGTTTTGAATTATGACCACAATTCTGGCCCATTTCTTCTTTATACCTGCCTATAGATTGTCATATTCTTTGAAGGAATTTTAAAAACCTTATACCATTTAGCAAATTGTAGCACAAGAGTTCTCAAACTTCATTGCACCAAAACCCTTTTCTGACAACAAAGTTATTACATGAACCCAGGAGAGTACAGAGTGAAGTGTGAGCCCCTTTACAAGTGTGGGGAGATAACAAATGTGAACAGATAACAAATGTGAAAAATCAGGACTGAGGGTGGGTGGTGTTAGGCACCTAATAAGACAAAGCCCCAAATATTGTATCTGTCCCTCTAAAATCAGGACATCTGGTTACCCTAGAGCACGGAGAGTCACAGTCCGAGCTCCATCGTCCCAGGTGGGGATGGAACTCAGTCTTCAGCCTGGATTCCAGCAAGGCTAATGCTGGCCCTCAGTCTTGAACCACAGTTTGAGAATCCCTGATTTAACATTTATATCTTTTATTGAAGCTATTAGTGAAACAGTGTTGAAAACTATAGTGTTAATTGTGTCCACAGCAAAATAAACATTTAAAAAAAATCCTAGTGGGCTTCAAGACAAACAGTGTGATGTACAATTTGTACATCACACTGACTCCTTTCTAACCTGACTCCTTCAAGACCTTGCTGGTCCCGAACCAGGAGAGGTCACTAAGATCTAGCAGCATTACCAACACTTTTACTGCTTATGGGGCTCTTAGAAGTCATTTAAGGGTAAACTAGAGCTAAATAATAGAACAGAAAGCCAGGACTGGTGGCTGTAAAGAAACTTTGTGAGACTGTGGGAAACTTGGCCACACCCATGATAAGTTTCAGAGGGATAGCTGTGTTAGTCAGTAATCTTTAAAAACAAGTAATCCTTTGGCACCTTAGAGACTAACAAAGTGTATGTCTACACTACAAAGTTAATTCGAACTAACAGATGTTAGTTCGAATTAACTTTAATAGGCGCTACACTAGCGCTCCGCTAGTTCGAATTTAAATCAAACTAGTGGAGCGCTTAGTTCGAACTAGGAAAACCTTATTTTACGAGGATTAAGCCTAGCTCGAACTAGCTAGTTCGAATTAAGGGGTGTGTAGCCCCTTAATTCGAACTAGTGGGAGGCTAGGCCTCCCCAGCTTTCCCTGGTGGCCACTCTGGCCAACACCAGGGAAACTCGTATGCCCCCCTCCC